TGGGACCGTTGGGACCCACAGGCTTGTCTTGGGCTTGCTGTTGGAAGCGGTTTGCCAGGCCTTCCTTCCTCATCTTAGCCTGGAAGCTGTGCTGCACGCTGCTCGGCCTCACAGGTACATGCAGGCTCTGCCGACAGATGGGTGGAGGTGTGCATGAGCTGCCGAGTCGGCAGTTCAAGACCACCAGCAGCTGTGTTGAGAGAAAGACAGGACTTTCTACTCCTGTAAAGAGTGATAGTCTGGGAAACTGACAGGGGCAGTTCTACCCTGTCCTGTAGGGTCCAGACAGGGAGCTTGGCTTTGGGGTTTTTTTGGTTTTTCTTTTTGGGTTATCACCTTGGGTTCTTGATGGCTTAGGAGTTGTGTGTTGAGTTGCCACGCCACCCACCGTGGTCAGAATCCAACAGCTGCTCTGGAGGAGAAACAGGAGGCCGTCTGCACCGTGAAGATCGGGTGTCGGAAGCCCACAGGCTGTGGACTCCGCCCCACAGAGTCGCGATGAATCAGACTCGGCTGATGGCGGGAGTTTGTTTTTTATTGGCCACTCTCATAGCTGAGACACAGGCCAAGGTGCCTGCAAGTGCTTGGTGGTAACGTGTGCTTTGGCTGAGGAGCCCAGTTGACGGTAACTGTCTTAGCACCAGGATTCCACTTATGAGACAAAGCATTAAAAGCCTTAACTGGGCGGGGGATTGGAGGGGCACTAGACCGCTCCATCTCGACTATAGGAATAGCAGTGGGGGCGTTTGGGGGGCTCACCTGCTGGGCTCGGGGCTGCCGGCTAAGGGGTGTAAGAGTTGTAAGAAAGGGGGACAGGACTGAGGTACAAACCATTTAACAGACAGACAGAGATCCATGTGCTCTGTGTCAGGATGCCTGTTAGACTGTGACAGCTTATATGGTGATCTATTTATTTGTTCTTTTTGGTGTGTATCTACACAAGATAGGCAGGAGAGACAATCTTACAGAGATAGCGACTGGTCCGATGGTTCCTGGGGGTTATGGGGGGCGTTGTGGGGGGGCCTTGGGTGGAGGTGGGTGGAGGGGCAACAATGACGGGTACAGGGGAACAGGAAGTGTTCTGAAATTGATGGCGAGAAGGGTGTATATTTTCTGGTCAAGTTTAATCAATCAGTTTGTATCTGGGAGGAATTACTGACAGGTGAATGACGGGTAAACATAACAGTGGAATAGGAAGAAAGAAAAAAGAAGAGGAAAAAAACCAAATATATAAATATATGTGTGGTTGTTTACATATGTATATATCTGCAAATGTAACAAGGAAGCAGATGGGCTTTGGGCCTCTACTTAAATTTTACCTCAGGTCAAGAATGGCTTGTTCTAATAATGGGGCATTGTATGATACTCACCTTCCTGACACAACCGCTGAAGACAAAGCGGGTGCATATGCAAATGTGGTGAAGAAAGCTGATGGTGCCTGGCTATTATAAGATATGGCACCTGGGGTCTTAAAGGCTTGAAGTTAAACAAGTGGTCATCTAACAGGGAAGCCACAAAGCCCACATGGAAGAAGCACACCAGCCTGTGTGATCATGAGGTGTTGACGGGAAAAGGTACATTAACAAACATGCAACCAAATCCATGTGAAGGGGCGTGGATGTAGTGGAGACCCCAAAACTCACCTATAAGATCATTGCCAGTCCCTCTCAGAAGGGCCACATGGAAGGGATGAGAAATCCAGGTGTGGTAAAGCACGGATGAACCACATAACTGTCCTAGGGATGTGGCTCTTTAATATTTCCTCCCCTTACTATTCTGGCTTTTATTGCTTTACCTCAGTGATCATGTTAGCCTTGTGTGTGTTCATTTGTGTATTTAAGATCACTCGGTACATGAAAGCCAAGATAGTCAACCTTCCAGAAACAGTAATGGGAGTAGTGGTTGACTGGGGGTGTGGGAAGCAAGTGGGGGTGGGGTCGGGGCTGATAGCATTGATGACTGTATAAGGCCACTTAATGGGACTGAACAACAGAATTGTATGGGCATGGGCATACGGGGTCATGTACGATATAGTCAAGAAAACCCCCAACACTATTATAGGGGGGGAAACAGCATTCCTGGGGGTGGGGTGGGCCAGGGAGGGGATATAGGGGAGCCGATATCAGGGAGTTCAAGAAGAAAGAAAATGTCTTGAAACTGATTGTGGCAGCAATGGTAAATGCTTGCTTGATGTGATTAAACAATGGGTTGTTATGATATCTTTAGGAGCTCCCAATAAAAAGATGGAAAAGTTTTTTTGATTAAAAAAATTTTTTTTAAAAAGAACAAAAAAAACCAACATGCCTCTGGTAGGAAACTGGAATTATTTAATGCATATGAATTTATCTGCCTTGGCAATTAGTTATGTACAGTCGACGATTGGCGACCAACAGCTGAGGTAAACAAACAAACATATACATGAGGTATAAATACAATATTGAAATGCAACATTATCGTTCATTTCCGTTGGCAAGGTAACAGTGAGTAAAATACCGTGGTGCTTCTCCAGCAAGCCCCACGTATCTCTTCGCTCTTGTCTCCCTTCATCTCCTCTCCCCGATTGGTTTTTTAAACAAAAGCGCGCTGAGGTGTCACCCAGCAGCGATGCGCCTGGTCGGGCGTGACACCCACCAGGTGGTCCGCAGAGCAGGGGATCTGTCTTCTTCTAGCCCCTCGCTACTCAGCGGGTCGGCAGCCAGGGGCGCCCTGAGGTGTGGCGTGGCAATGCAGGGTCTCAGACGCAGCCCCTTTGTCAGCACTGGGTGTCCCGTGCCCACCGCAGGGCTCTGGGTGGCACGGCGGGCTCTCTGACAGCCATGAAGAGAGGCTGGTGTCTGGGGCAGGGCCAGCGCCTGGCAATCAGGTCTCCCTAACAGCCTCCTCTGTACAAACGAGAGGGAGCCGGCCTGCGTTGGACGGGGGAATCTGAAACGCGTCGGCAGAAGTGACTTTGCTTGGCTCAGATGGCAAAGGGGAGCCTGCAGTTACCTTCTCAGAGAGGCGGGGAGATGAGCCAGGCCCAGGACTGTCACTCAGAGGGGTGAGGGGCTAGGGGGTGGGGTTTTCTCTGCATTATTCTGAGCTCAGAGGCAGCATTTTTATTCCGCTCAATAGAACAATTGCACATTGCGGATAAGAAAGAAACAATCCATGAAGGCACAGAGTCCAAGAAGAAGCAAAAACACTTGTTTAAGTCTTTCTTCTTCTCCTCCCCTGCCCCCTCCCCTCCAACACCAGTTGCTAAGCCTTAACCATCTCTGTCAGGGGCTACCAACATCAAAAACAAAAACTCCCCCCCCCAAACAACCTTGTCCCTGAATCCAAACACAGTAATTTACTTTTCTCTTGAGAGCTGGTCGGCTGTAACAAAAGCACGACTTACGTCCACGCGTCATGGTCTGAGGAGGTCGGTGTCCCCCGTCTGTCCAGCAATAAACGAGGCTGGGACTTGAGCTAGGGCTGAAGGGACCCAGGATTAATCAACGCATCCGTATTTTTTCCTCTAAAACTAGTTTGAAAACATAGTTTTGGTCTTAGGTTAATTAAAACAACAACAACAACAACACCCTGTGTCTCAGCTGAGTAAATCATAGGGTGGGTGAGTAAAAAAGTATTGCTACTGGGAGGGACTCCTGTTCCTACGCACTCAGGCTTGTTCCAAACGGAATGTGTGTGAGCCTGTCTCTGTGGTCAGTGGGCAGCTACAGGCAAGCTGGCTCAGGGACACGCTTGCCTTAGTCTCCGTAGCCCCCCTTGCCCCCCATAAAAAAGGCCCAATCAATCAAAATGGACTTCTGAGGGGATCTTGTGGGAGACTGGCAAATTCAAGGCTATGCGCGTTAGCTGTTTGGGGGAATGCTAATGGCGTTGTCTTGAAAGCATTTTCTTGAAGGACCCCGGACCGTCATTGGGGTTTTGGGGAAGAAGTTTGGAGACAGTGCAAAGCTCCATTGGGGAGGAAGCTACACTGAGGTTTTCTTCCTCCCTGTGACCAGGCTCCTGCAGAGGAACGGGGGCGTCCCACAAGGATCTTGTTGGGAAGTCTCACCCCACTCACCACCCACCCTCCCCCTGATCTCGATCCTCCCATTTGTTCCCCAAGCTCCATGGGCCTCGGAAGGAGCAGGGTTGGAGTCCCTCCTGGGTGCTAAAGCTCCCATCTTGACTCGACGCTAATCAAAGGTGCGGAATCATTTGGGAAAGGCTTTGGGAGACGGAAGCAGCACCCTCTGAATGGACCCAGGTGGCGTCTGCGCCGAGAAGGCCAGGGAGTCTCATTTTGAGGCTGCTGTGGTTCGGTAGCAATACTTTCTGACCCACCCCCTCACAGCTTGGAATCATCTACGTAGCATAACATGAATTCCCTGAAGCTCCTGTGGTCCAGTCCTCTGGGGGGGAGGGGGGGTCATTATCTCCCTTTGCTCGCCTCCAGGGTTAGAGTCAGTGCAGTGAACTGTGGCCAAGCAGGCCACTGGCCAAACAGAGAGACACCCACGCCCACGAGGACTCAGGAGAGCTCCGTGGTTTGGTGGGCTGTGAGTGCAGGGATCAGGCGCAGCTCTCCCGTCACGGGGCAGCACTGGGCCGCTTGCAGCTGCTGCACTCCGACTCTGGCCAATGTCGGACGCTCGCTGAGTTCAGTGGCCACCTGCGATCCAGCCTTCAATTTGGCCACAACGTCCTGCCTGATCCTTTGCTTTAAGATAAGGGATACTCCTCTCTGCGTCCTCTCCAGCACCCTGGTTGCAGGTTTTGAGAACGTTTGGATTCCATTTCCCTTTGGTTAGCGCATCTTTGGTTGGACAGAAAGGGCTGTGCTTCCGCCCTGAGCGTGAGCAGCAGACTCTGCTCGGCCCCTGTGACGGTGGGGAGACGATGGAAAGGAGAGGCGTGAGCACAGGGACTCACCCAGCCCTCCCCGCGCTTCTGTCAAGGCACAGGACTCCAGATGAAATCGGCATTTCACACATGTACAGGGGAGACAGCAGTCCACACACCTATGTGCACACGCCGGACGGACGTTTATTTACAACGAGGGAGGTGCTTCTTGGAAGCTTTTAAATAGCAAATTAGGCGATGCACAAGGAACAATCCATTTAATTTTAAGTAACATAGATAAAGGTTTTGGCTTTTTAAATATAAAAATATTATATTAGTAGGGCTATAGCCATCTCCAGGAGGGCTAGGATCGGTTCTTATAAATTCTTTCTTTGATCTTCTCCCGTTGTGTTTGGCATGAGCCATGCCCACGGGTCTCTCTCTCTCTCTCTCTCTCTCTCACTCGCTCGCTCGCTCGTTCTCCTCACGCGTGTTTGGCGTGCTTCCGCTTCCCTGAGCTTGGTGCCAGAACTGGGTGGGAACGCCTCTCAGATTTTCGTTTCTGGACCCTCAGCAATGAGGGGCTGGAAAGAGTTTCGGATCCGGGCGACTTCGGCCGTGCACAGATGACCAAAGGCCTTGCTGTACCACTCTGGGGAGTGACCCCTGCAGGGAGAGAAGCAGAAAGGGGGAGCATGTGTCTCTGCCCTAAATCAGGCCAATCTGCCCAGGGACCCAGGGGCTGCCCTTGTGGCCTGGTTTGGGGTCTGTCTGCAAACTGTTCTGGGATGCCACCGGGAGGGTCCGAGGACCCCTCTGCCTGCCACTGGGTCCATTCTGACTCAGGGCGACCCTATAAGTGAGGTTGTCAATCTTGACGGGAGCAAACAGCCTCATCTTTCTCCCGAGGAGCGGCTGGTGGGCTTGAACCCCGGCCTTGACATGAGCAGCTCAGAGCACGACACAGGGCACCCCCAGGGTTCCTCAGAGAAGCCAGTACATGACGATGATTATCTACCGAATATAGACGTGAGGGGTGCGACGTCGGGGCCTCGTGGCTGGTCCCCACTTACTTGAGGTCCACCCTGCAGACGTGGGTCAGCCGGGACTTCCCAGAGCCGCAGGGCTCTATCAGGTACTGAGATGCCATCACAGTCCCGCGCACGCCTCCCATGGGCCGGGCTTCCTGGTGCTCCACCGACACGGATACCAGGGCGCACGTGCCCTTGGGCAGATCCGTCCTCCAGGTCCTGGGGCAAAGCAACCACGCGGCTCGGAGCTGGCTACCCACTGCCAAGCCCGAGCCCTCTGGGTCATGGCCACCGTGTCCAGAGCAGCCCTGGGGGGGCAGTAGCTAGGTGCCCAGGCCCACCCAGAGGTGTTACTGGATAGGCACCCGAGTGAGACCCCTGTATCTCAGGCCACACTTCTGGGGCCGACCTCGTTCTCTGCCTGCCAGGAGTGCCTGCTGCCCGTCCAGTGTGCCCCGCTCCGTGAGCGCATGCGTATTCACACAGTCCAGCCTCGGGAAGTGGCACTGACCGGAACGGGGAGAGCGAGGCAGCCTGAAGGCCCGGACAGAAGGGGACAGAGGGACCGGGATGGGCTCAGCCAGCACAGTGGACACACAGCAAGCAAATCTTCCCCGGCCTCTGTTTGGAGCCAGGAGCCAGGGCTGCAGCCCGGGGAGCTGCGGGAGGCCCCGGGAGAGGTCTGAGTGAGGAGTAGCAGCATCAGGTACCTCTGGGGACCAAACCAGAACCCCAAACCCACAGCCACCCAAGCGATTCCGAGTCACAGTCACCCTACGGGACAGAGCAGAACTTCCCCCAAGACTGTCACTCCCGTGGGGGGAGATGGCCTCAGCTTCACCCTCAGAAGCACCTGGTGGGTTTGGACCTTCGACCTCGCCGTCTCTTCCCAGTGCCCAGGATCACAGCACTGCAGCCCAGGGCAGCTCACCTGAGGACCACGAAGTCCCGGGCAGGGTGGGGGTCCATTGCGTTCAGCAGGTACTGGTAGACCTCCGTGTGCTTGTCCAGGGCTTCCAGAACCTTCCACTGCACAAAGTCCTCATCCCATAGATGGCGCTCCCTCAGCACCCGGTTCAGGACGACGGAGGGGGGGGCCTCCACCTCCACCGACGCCTTCCACAGCTTCAGCGGGTGCCCGTCCTCCACCTTGGAAGGACGCGTCCGGGGAGCTGGTTAGAGGAGACCTGGCCCCACCGTGACCCCGCCGGGCCTTTGCTCACACAGCTCCTGGGAGCAGTGACCCTACGTGCCTCAGACCTGCGATTCACCACGCTGGTGGTGACGGTGACGGTCCTGCCACCGTGCCAACAATGACGGGGCCGCCAACACCAGCACGCACGGTGCCAACCACGCAGCACACACACCTCCATCCCTTCTGGCTCTTAGCAGCCCTCCTCAGACACTGGGGTCCCCGGGGATACACTCGGCCAGGGCTCAGCCGCTCGCTGAGAAGGGGGGTGCTCAAGCCACCCCTTGCACCTTGGAAGAAACGTCTGGCAAAGATAATTCTGACAAAGGGTTAAAAAAAAAAGACACCAGAGGTTGGGGTCCAACCCAAAGTACCTCTGCAGAAAAGCACCTGTTTCCCAGAAGGCCCTGCTGCGTGTCACCGTGCCCATTTTACAGAGGTGAACACAGAGGCACGGAGGGACCAGTGAACTGGCCAAGGGCACACACGTGGCAGTGAGGATTGGGGCAGGGACACTTGTGGGTCTCTCAGCTAGTGTTTTTGCACTGTCTCTGTACCCAGAGGCCAAGCTGGCCAGGGCCGGCCACTTAGTTCCCACTCAGGCAGGCCCCATGTCCAGAGAACAGCGCTCTGCAGGGGTCTGGAGCCAGGAATTCGTGACTGCTCAGGTGGCCTGTCCCACCTACCTCATCGCTCAGTTCCCACAAGCCCACCTGCTAGTGACTTTCCCCTTCCATAAGTTTAGAAGCTGGGCTTCCACCCCCAGAGGCAAACAGAGACTTTTCCAAAACCCAAACCCAGTGCCATCGAGTAGAGAGGCTGACTCACAGCAAGCCTACAGGTCAGGGTGGAACTTTCTCTGTGAGTTTCTGGGGCTGGGACTCTTTACAGGAGCAGACAGCCTCCTCTTTCTTCCTCAGAGCTGCTGGTGGATCTGAACCACTGACCTTGTGGGTAGCAGTTCAGTGGGTGAATTCTGTGGGACGGGCGGAACTTCCCCGAGCTCTTCACGGGAATCTCTTGCTCGCTTGCCCCACCCACCGACCCCACTGCCTTTGAGTCAGGGGGCACCTCCTCACAGCCTCTGTAGGGTTTCCGTGACTGCAGGCCCTGGCAGGAGCAGGCGGCCTCCTCTTTCTCCCGGGGTGCGGCTGGTGGGTTTGAACGACCCACCTTGCGGCGAGCGCAGCTTTTAGGTGCACGGGCGCCTTACTGCTGTGGTCTGAGACCAAACCGAGGTCTCTGAGAGGTCGGGAGCAACGTGCAGCGTGGCCCCTTGTGGACAGGGTACTGGCTACAGATCCCCCGGCCTTTCTGCCAAGGTGCCTCTGGTTGGACTGGACCCGCCAGCCTTTGGGTAGGCAACAGGACGCTTAACTGCTAGAGCCACCCCAGCCCAGAAACCCGCTGCCGTGGAGGGGACTCCTCTAGGGCAGAGGAGAACTGCTCCCCAGGGATTCTGGGAACAGCCTCATCTTTCTCTCACGGAGCAGCGGGTGGGCTCGAACTGGCGACCCTTATGCTAAGTAGGGGAGTGCTGAACTCACAGTGCCGCCAGGGCTGGCTGAGACACTAGGGACTCTGAAGCAGCAACAGGAGTCCCTGCTGGCTCGAGGTGGCCCCGGGGGTGACTGCCACGTGTGGCCGAAGTTACCTTTTTGAAGGCTAGTTCTGCGTTGTCTATGCTGGGGCAGGCGACCCAGCCCTTAAACTTCTCCTTGGCCTCCTTCTGCAGGCCCTGGACCAGGTGCTCCAGGTACGCGTGCACCGTGGCCCCGCCCTCCTCCAGGTGCTTGCCCAGGTCGTTCAGCGTGGGAGAAGGGGTGTCGGCATCCAGGTATGCCTTCTTCGACTGCGCCACCATCTCCAGGGGAACCTGGGCCGACAGACGCAGGGAAAGGTCGCCCACAGAGCTGAGCCAAGGCCGGCTGACCGCTGAGAGCCCCACGGAGGGATGGGGGCCCAGGCGGTGGGCCACATGTGGGCAGGGCGTTCGATGGGCTTTGCCCATGCTGGGAGGGCGGGGCAGGGTGTGTGTTGGGGAGGGGCTTCCCAAAGTCAGGAAGCACACGGTGTTTCTGAGGGGCACCGTGAGAGCCAGATGTCCACTTCTGGCAGGGCCGTCAGTTTGTCTGTCTCTCTCTCTGTGAGGGGGGATGTCTGAGGTCTCGTCTCTGACAGGGCCGTCTGTCTCTGACAGGACTGTCTGACTACATTTCTCTCTCTCTCTCCCTGAGGGAGGGCTGTTTGTGCTCTTTTCCCTGATGGGTATGTCTGCCGGCATGGCTGTCTGTCTGTCTCTCTCTGTGAGGGGGGAATGTTTGAGCTCTCCTCTCTGACAGGGCTGTCTGTCTGTCTGCCTGTCTCGGACAGGGCTGCCTGACCACCCCTCTGCCTCTCTCTCTCTGAGGGCGAGAGGGTGCACCTTCTCTCTCTGACACGGGGTCCCCACCTTTGCAGGCTCTACTGCACCATTCCAGCACTGCCTTCGGCCCCTCCTCGTTTTGCGTTCAGCGCGTGTCAATGCGCATTCGCTGCACGTGTGTTTATTCTTTCACAGATGTGTGCTTATTCCTGCTTGCGTGCTCCGCCCATTGTGAACAGCCCGCAAGCAGACAGACCTGAGACCCAAACCCCCAAATGCAGCCCTGGAAGAGCCTTCCCTTGTTAGCATGCTTGGCCCCTGTGGGCCGGTGCCAATGCTAATCAGGATGAGCGCCTGAAGCCCAGCCCCTCGCGTCTGCAGTAGCCCAGTGGCCGCGTTCCTGAGTGACGGAGGATTCCATCATGCGGGCTCACCTGAGCCAGTCCTGGGGGGGTCAGGCCAGATATGACACACTGTTGAACCTGGCAAACAAGGGCAGGGTGATTGCCTTCCTGAGAACTGTTGTCATGGCAACCTTGGGAGCCTGGAACCATCAAAGCCCTATCACGCGTGTTGGTCGGAGGCAAGGCTGTGGAGTCTAACTGTCATTGTATCTGGAACCAACAGTATTCGTTGACTGTGTGGCAGCCACCCCAGGCGTCTTGCGTCCCCTGTCAGTCGTTAGGGAGGGCGGCGAGAGCCTGCCACTGCTCACCTCAAACAGCTGGTCACACTCCACGATCATGTGGGCCAGCCCCTGGGCGGCCGCAAGGTTCTCACTGAGGTCCCGCTGGTCTGGCTTCCCCGTGGCGTATTTCTTCTGGATCACTCTGCAATCGGACCGCGTGTCACCAGCAGGGACAGAATGACCGGCCGCCCCTCCTGCTCTCTCCTCGGACCCAGCTCCGTCCAGAGGCCAGCTGCTCTCACTCCAATGAAAAGCAATTCCCTGGCTGACCACTCTCGACTGAAAACCTCAGAAGACTGGACGGCTGGCGTGGGCATGGTGGGCCCCCAGAAATGGCCCCATGGGTCCAGAATTAGCTGTGTCTGTGTCTGTGAGCGACGAGGCTCGGACTGGCTGCAGATGCTTTCTGGCTGTAACCGGGTGCTGGCAGGCCCCCCGTAGACACAGGACGTGCGGCGGGCATGTTCTCACGTCTCGTGAACTTAGTGCTTCGGTGGTGCAGACAGTTAAGCACTCGCCTGCTTGGGGTTCAAATCGACCCAGGGTGCCTCCCAAGAAAGGCCTGGCTATCTGAACAGCCACATCGCCTATGAACCAGGGGGTCCTGACGCATGGGGGGGGGGCACAATAGCTGGGATGGGCTGGATGGCGGTGAAGAGGCACCTCACATGGGGCCAGCCTCTGCGTCCTGCAAAGGGTTAATGTGGTTGGCAGGGAACCAAACCCCCCCACCCCCAACTCACAGCCGTCGAATCGATTCTGACTCACAGCAACCCTGTAGGACAGGGTAGAACTGCCCCTGTGAGCTTCCGAGGCTGTCACTCCTACCAGGAGTAAAAAGTCTCATCTTTCTCCTGTAGTGTGGTCAGTGGTTTTGAACCGCTGATCTTGCAGTTAGCAGCCCAATTAGTAACCACGCCGCCACCCAGCAAACAACAAACTCTTCTGTCATTGAGTTGATTCCGGCTCACAGTGACCCTACAGGACAGAGTGGAACTGCCCCTATGGGTTTCCGAGGCTGTTAATCTTCACAGGAATAGACAGCCTCATGTCTCCCTTGGAGCGCCTGGTGGGTTTGAACTCCTAACCTTGCCGCTAATCGTCAGACTCATAGCCCGCTATGTGGAAGAACGTCCCTGTATGCTACTTCCAAGCGATTGGCCGTGAAGAGCCCCCGAGATGCAGGGTCTTCTTCTGGGGACACCTGGCGGGGGCTCACTGCCGGGGGACACCCACCTTGAGGTGCTTTCCTTCTTCAGCAGGTTCAGGTGGAAAAGGGAGGGGGCCAGGCACACTGCCAGGTTCATGGGCGTCATCTGGTTCTCCTGCACCAGGCTGACCACGTCACTCAGGAAGCACAGCAGCGTCTGCAGGACCTCGCGGTTCTCATCGGCCAGCAGCAAGATGGCAGCCTGCACCGCCTGCAGCCACTGCTCCTTGGGGACATCTGAGGGAACGAGGGGGCCAGGCGGTCAGCAGGGAACCACCACAGACGGAGCCAGCCGTCCCGACAGCCAGGACATGCCCCACGGGAGGGAACCGGTCCCGCAGGGGCCCAGTCCTGGGGGGCTTGGAATGGGTTCCACACGGGACAGAGGCCACCCCATGATCTGCAGGGCACCCTGTTCTGCCCGTGGTGGCATTTTGACCCAAGGGCGGATGGAAAGACTGGCACTTCAAATCCTCTGCTGCTCCGTGGGAGAATGATGAAGCAGTCTGTCCGTGTACAGAAGGCAGCCCCAGGACCCGAGGGGGCAGTTCAATTTCGTCTGTAGGGTTTCATGGGTCAGAGTGGAGCCCACGACAACTGGACTTTGGGTTTTCCATGAGCATGTTGGAAGCTCCGGCTTTTCCGCCAGCAGATGAGTGCTTAACCGTTGTGTCGCCAGGACTTCCCTCTGTGTGCTCACAGACACAACGACAACCCGACTGCTCCAGTCTGCTCTGGCTCACGGCCACCTTGCAGGGCAGAAACGCCCTGTGGGAGTTGATGGCCTCATCGTTCTCCTGGGGAGCAGCCGGGCATTTGAACCTCGGGCCTTTGGCTCAGCAGGTCAGGGCTCTAACCTCTGTGCCACCAGGGCCCCTTCCAAGGCCGAAGAGCGGAGTCCCATGGCTCAGAGCGAGGGCATCGCGAGCGCCCTACATCTGGTCTCTGGCAATGGGCACAACCCCTCAACGTCACCACCCCCCACTTTGCCTGGTGCTGGAGTGGCTGCACCTCGGGCTGCCCCCACGAGGTCAGCAGTTCCGGTCTGCGTGCTGCCCCTTGGGAGAAAGACTTCTGCTCCCGTCAAGACGGACCGCTCCGGAAGCCCACAGGGGCAGTTCTCGTCCGTCCCCGGGCTCACTGCGAGTGGGGACTGCCTGGACGGCTTCCCTACTCTGTCCTATGGGGTCGCCGGAAGGGGCAGTAGGTTTGGGTTAAAGGGCTCTGTGGGTGGGGCGCGGGCCTGTGAACAGAAAGGTCTGCAGTTCAAACCCACCGGGCGCCCTGAGGGAACAAGATGAGGCTGTCTGTTCCTGTGAAGATTTCCAGTCTTGGAAAGCACAGGGAGCAGTTATACTATGCCCGGTCGTGCCGCTGTGAGTCAGATGGCAGTGTGTGTGTGTGGTGATGGTGGTGGTGGGGGGTTGTGGTTCAGTGCTTTACACTCAGTGAACCAGAGGCTTTGGGCAAGAGGAAGGCAGGGCTGCCCGTCCGATCCCCGAGGGTGATGCCCTCAGGCGATACTTCAAGGTGGCCGGGTGCCCACACGCCAGGACACTGTTGCTATTCCGACTCACAGGTTCCCCCCTCTCACCCCCCACCACAGTCCCGCGGCCCAGGGTGCCCAGGCCGGCACTCACACTGGTAAATATGCAGGAAGGTGTCGCTGAGCTTGCTGGTGAACAGGGGCTCTGGAAGATCCCGGAAGAACTGCTTGACCATGTCAGCCACATCGTAGGCCGACTGTTCCTCGTAGCTGACGCTCCGGGGGAAGCGCTCGTTCATCTGCCGCAGGGCTTGGATCCGGGACTTCACGCCAGACTTCCGGAAAAGGCCCACCTGGAACAGGCCACAGGACCCGTCAGTGGACCTGTGGGAAGTCCCGATACAATCCGAGTGGGGCATTCGCAAGTGGTCAGTCAGGCAGGTGGTGACCACTAGGGGTGCCCCGAACCCCCTCCCTGTGCCCAGGAAAGCTCCCTTTTGGTGTGAGACAAAGGGGAGGGGTGAGACTGCTTTCACCCTGGGGGTGGGGATGGCGGGTTACAGAAGGTGTCAATGGAAGACAGGCTGCCCCTTTGTGTGTGGTAGTACACACAGGTTCCTCTTTGATGTCTCTTTGCATTCCACGGCCTGGGTCTCACAATCCCGGTCCTCAGGCCTGTTTCCCTGAGAACAGGGAAGGCTGCTTCTACTCCTTAAGTTTGGGATGAGTTGGAAAACACAAATCCAGATTATGTTTACACAAGCCTCCCTGGAGACCCCGGAGAATGTCTCTGTTCCCCTGGTGGCGCCTCCCAGGAATGAGGGGATGCTGCGCATCTGTGGGAGCACCGGTGGTGTACTGGAGCACACACTGAGCTGCTACGCACAAGGTCAGTGGTTCAAACCCACCAGTCGCCCGGAGCGAGACAGGCGAGGCTGTCTGCTCCTGTGAAGACCTCCAGTCTTGGGGACCCTCTGCAGGGGCTGCAGTGAGGCGGGAGGACCCGTTACGCATTGCCTTCTCTTAGCGGGAGTGGAAGACAAGGCTTGCTGTCGGGAGTTCAGAGCACCGACCTCCTGGAGAGCGGCCCAGCGCTTAACCGCTGTGCCACCAGGCCCAGATCTCGAAGATGACAGCTTAGGAGACCCTGCAGGGCAGCACTGTTCGGTGTAGAGCCCTGGTGGCACCGTGAGCAGGCTCTTGCCTGAGAGAACCGCCGGCCCTTCGAGGTTCGGACCCACGGCCGCTCTGAGGGGGAAGGCCAGGCTGTGCGCTCCGGAGAAGACTGACAGCCCGGAGCCTCGGGGCAGCTCTACTGGGTCCTTGGGGTGTCCCTGAGTCGATAGCTCCTGGGGTCCTGGGGTAGGTTTGAGTTGGCGAGCTTCCTCAGAGACACCCCTACTTCCAGAGACACCCCGACTTGCTGGCATGCCCCTACTTGCTGCATTCCTTTTCTGGCCATGGGGAGCTATTGAGTGGCATCCAGACAAGGCGGGGCGCAGGCCAGCAGGGTGCCCCATCCTCAGAGCTCGAGCTCTGGTGGGGTGGGGGAGAGGAGGCCCCTGCGTCCGGGCCTCTTTCCACGTCTCTCCAGCGTGGCCCACAGAGCGTGGGGTCCCAACAGCTTCCAGTGGACCTGACTGCGACCTCAGAAACGCCGGCAGGACTCCGCCCCCGAGGGCTCGGGGCCCGCCCACCCAAGCTTCCCAGGACGTCAGGGCTCCCTTGGGATTCTTGCTGAAGGTGTGAGAAGAAGTCCATCGCTCCAGTGACGGGGGCTCTCATGTCCCCTCATCCGCATGCCCCCCCGCCCCCCGCCGGGTGTCAGGCAAGAGCTGTGCCCCAGAAGGTCTTCCACCCAGCTGTGCCCCAGAGGAGTGGACCCCCAGGCCTTCTCACTGAGGCACCTGGAGTGGATACGGATGCACAGCGCGTCTGCAGGATGGGCCTCCCTGACTGTCCCTCGTCCTTCTCCTGCGGAGCACAGGATGGTTTTGAACTGCTAACCTCGTGGTTAGCAGCCTGATGTGGAACCACTGTGTCCCCAGGCTCCGTTGCACCATCTGGAGATCCCCTAAGGCCCCGGGGGGTGGGGGGGGCACAGTGGATGATGCTGTCTGTGGGCAGTCTTGGAGGATGGATAGCCAGAAGGCTCCTTAGGGGCAGGGCTGGCGAGACGTCATCTCACGTGCGTTGGACGCGTTCTCAGGAGAGACCTGTCCTTGGAGGAGGGTTTCCAGCTTGGCAAAGTCGAGGGGCAGCGAGACAGAGGGAGGGAGGCCCTCGGGGAGGTGGGCTCGGGCACGGCGACTGTGAGGATGGCGTGGGGTCCAGGGGTGCTTTGTTCTGTGGTCTAGGGGGCTGCTGAGGATCAGAAGGGGCTAGACGGCCCCTGGCCACAGGAACAGCAGCTCCAGTGAAAGGCGGCCTTGTGCCAGAGGGGGGCGTTGGCTTTCCTGCCACACCCCGCCCCAGGCCCCCGCCCGGTTGTGGTCAGCATGGCCTTCACACGCTAAGAAAGCCCTGGACGCCCTGCCACCGCCACCTGTGTGGGAGGTCTGGAACCAACCCCAACGTCCCCGAGGTCCATCAAGAGCACATGCCAGCGGAGAGGGTGGCCCCGCTGTGTCCTGGGGTGGGCGGGGTTGTGCCCGGCTTCCTGCTCACTCCCCTCCCTGCCGTCAAGTGGACGCTGACTCACAGTGATCCCACAGGACAGGGCAGAACTCCCCACAACCTTCCCGGGGTGTCCAATACTGAAACTCTGTAAGGGAACACACATCCTCGTCTTTCTCCCACGGGACAGCTGGTGGGTTTGAACCGCAGACTAGTTGGTTGGCAGCCAGCAGTCCCCACGGAGTCACCAGGGCCCCCCTTCCCTGCACAGCAGGCCGAGTGGCCGTACCTGGTCGAGGCAGCTGTGGTGCAGGTATCTCAGTGCCTGTTGGATGCTCTGAGGCAGGGGCTGGCCCGTCCGCTGCACGTGGACTGTCAGGGGGACACCGAAGACCGTTTTGTCTTTGTAGTCGGGGACCTTCATCCTCTTCATGAACTTTGGCACGGACCTAGGGTTCACAGAGCCCTGTCAGACGGGGTGCAGGGTGGGGAGGGGCAGGGGCGGACACAGCCAGGTGGGGGCGGCTTTGCTGGAGTGTGGCCAGACCACCCACCTGCCTGTTTCCACCGACTGGTCCACCTTCATGCTGTGGTTGCCCCCTCCCTCCTCGCTGCACGGGAGGGGACGCAGACTCACAGGGACCCCACGGTACAGGGTAGAACCACCCCTGGGGGTTTCTGAGGCTTCAACCCCTTACTGGAGGGTTCAGCCTCCTCTCTCTCCCCAGGAGTGGACCGTGGGTTCAGATGGCTGGGTTCAGAGCAATCTGCAGCTCTGTTTGACTCACCCATCATCTGTACAGGAGCAGCCTGCCTGGCCTTTCTGCCACCGAGCATCTCTGGGTTTGAAACAGAACTCCAAACCAGCCCATGACTGCCACATTGATTCTGCCTCCTGGCTACCTTGCAGAACACTGTGGGAGCAGTGGAGGGCCCTGGTGGTGATGTGTGCTAGGCTTTGGGCTGCTAACCACAAGCTCAGTGGTTTGAACCCACCAGCCATTCTGGGGGAGAGAGATGAGGCTGTGTGCTCTGGTCAAGATTTATCATCTCAGAAATTTCACAGGCGCCTGGCTCAGAGCCGGAATTGATGGACAGCTATAGGCTTGGGTGGGTTAAACCCAATTCAACCAACGTGGTTGCTCCCAGCCGATGGAAACGCCCAGAGGTCCACGTATCAGACATGAACTGAGACCCGCAGGGTCTTCTTGGCTGGAGCCCCAGTAGCACCAGAGCTAAGCACTCTGCCGCTAATGCAGAGGTTGGCGGTCTGAAGCCACCTGCCGGCTCAGAGAGAGAAGGACCCTGCAGCCGGCTCTGGGACACCCTGCGGGACACTTCTCCTCGGTCATGGGGCCACCTGAGTCAGGGTCAGCCCCAGAACAGCGGTGACTGCCAGGCTTTTCTTTCGTGCCACTGTCAACGGGGTCTTACTGGGAGCAAGAGCCTGCATGCTAGGGACCATAGAGGGCGGGGCAAGCCATCCTGAGTTCAGAAGTGTGGGCAAGGGTCCCGAGAGCCCTGGGACGAGCCTCCCCACCCCTGCACCGTGGGGTGGTGCTGTGTACGCACCATGTCCAGCTGTGCTTGCTGGACGTGGACTGCCTGTCCATGATGGCGGTCAGACGAAGCAGAGAGAGGCGCTGCAGCAGGTTCAGCTGGCCGGCTGTCTGCGAGCTGATGGGGGATGAGGCCGTGGACAGCGGCGGCTGGTGGGGGAGCTGGAGGCTGTGCCAGCGCAGTCTCCTGGAGCGAGGGACAGGGTATGGAGAGGGGACTCAGAGAGGGGCGGCGGCGGAGCACTTCCCGAGCCAGAGCCCCTCTGAGCACAGCCTGTCTAGTCCGGGGTCCACCAACCCGGGAAAGGTGGCCTCCCCCCGCTTCCCCCAGAGGCTGGAGCTCCAGTGATGTCGCTGCATTCTGTCTGTCTCCAGATTCAGCCCCCCAAATGCTGAGGCAGCTTTGACTGATGGACACACACACATACAGAGGGAGAGGGAGGGAGCCGGCCAACCGAAGACCGAGAGGGAGAGAGAGAGAAGAGAGAGAGCAAGAGAGAGAGAGGAGAGAGAGAGAAGAGAGGAGAGAGAGAAAAGAGAGAGAGAGAGATGGAGAGAAAAGACAAGAGAGAGAGAGGAGAGAAAAGAGACAGGGAGAGAGAGAGAGAGAGAGAGAGAGAGAGAGAGAGGAGAAGTGGAGAGAGGAGAGAAAGAGAGATGGAAGAGAGAGAAGATGGAGAGAAAAGATAACAGAGGAGAGAAAAGATTAGATAGACAGTAGACAGGGAGAGAGAGAGAGAGAGAAGAGAGGGCGGGTGGGGGAGAGGGAGAGCTGCGATAGCCAAGGTGGGTGAGCGGATGCTCCGGTGTCTGGAGGCGGTGGAAGGGCCCTGTGGTCCTCTGTGGACGGGAAGCTGTGTCTGACCCCACAGCCACCAGAGGCCCCAAGCTGAGCCCTGCAGCAGCACGCTGTCTCGCGCTTCCAGACGTCAGTCCCTGTGGGGTCACCGTTCTGGGGTGCTGAGGAATTCCTTGCAGGGTTTTTCATTTGGGATGTTTTAATGGATACTTTCCAAGGTCGCAGGGAGGGCCTGGTGCCCCGGCCTGGGTCTGGGTTATCTAGGATTCCCGACTGGGTTTAGTGTTGTGTGTGGCACCTTAGAAACCCACCACACCACTGCCATCGAGTCGGTGGATAGAACTGTCCCTGTGGGTTTTCCAAGACTGTCACTCTTTATGGGAGCAGGTGGCCTCAGCTTTCTCCCTTGGGCCAGCTGGTGGGCTCGAGCTGCTGACTTGTGGCTCTTAGCCCAACACATCCCCGCCACAGCACCAGGGCTCCTCACTGGGCCCCTAAGAAGCTTGACAACAAAATGAGACGTTTTGAAATAAAAATACGTTTGGAAAAGGGCACGTGAGGATGAGTTTGGATCCAGGAGCCAACACATCCTTGGTTCTCAGAGCTGGTTTTGACCCACGGAGCCTGGCGTGTGATGGGCCTCCAGTGTGCCTCCCGGGGCGGGGCTCTCTAGGAGTGGACCACCAGGCCTTCCAGCCGCCTCTGGGTGGGTTGGAAGCCCCAACCATTTGGCCAGTGGCTATAGTTTAACTGTTCCCAGTGCCAGGGACTCAGCAGTACAGTAACTGCTTCTTAGAGACATGAGTGGATGCCTAAAACAGACAGCAATGTCCAAAAATGCAGGGGACTGGGGTCTGAAAGGCTCACGGGCAGCCGCCTATGGTGTCAATGTTGATGTCTCCCCATCCGGAGGAGAGAAGATGGGTGGAAACTGAAAGACGCTGGAAACCATGAGTCCACACACTCGGGGACCACAGAACCCTCAGTCTCCACAGCCCTGGACCAGGGGGAGCAGATGGTGCCCGGGCCCCACTCCCTGCTGCTCTGAAAGTGGTCCTCTTAGAAGGTCCTTGGTGGAGGGGGAGGGAAAGATGTGGAATGGAACCCCAGGTCCTGAAAGAGACGCAGCTCACTGGATGGCTGGAGACTGGCAGAACCCCGCAGACTGGCCCTGAGTCGCCTTGCAGGTCTGGACCTGAACTCACCTGTGGGGCTCCGTTTCCCGCCTGACCACGAGCAAGTCTGTGAGGAGAACAGTATGACTAGGGAGCTGCTTGAGATCGGCAGGGGGGCACTGACCCCAGGACAGCGTTTAGAAGGGTTTGGGGAGAAGGAGGAGTGGACACAGGAGGCAGCGTGTTTCAGGCGAGGCGGGCAGCCACAGGTAACATCCCAGGTGAGGGCACATGCCAGGGGGGGGAGACACCATCAAGGAGAGGGAACACGTGGGTTGTTGACGGGGACACGGGTCTGCTCTGTGAAGCTGCACTCAATTCCCATGGGAGGGCTTTTCCTTTCAGCCTTTCAAAAGACAAGGTCAGCACTGGTGAGGTCCCCGGCGCTTAAGCATCATGAGGTCCTGCTCTCGAGAGCAGGTACAAAGGGCCCACATGGGCCTGAGGGCACGCGGCTACTGAGAAGGACGCACACACCAGCAGGAGCAGCCCGACCGGCCGGCACGCTCCACCAGTAAGTGACCGGGAAGCACGTCACGCTTGCCACCCACCTGTTGGGTCTGGTCAGTGAGGCCCCCACTCCGGAGTCCCTCCTCTCTCGCCCCCCTGGGGCCTCGGGGTCCCCGTCGCTGGGCGTGGACCCGCTTTCTGAGATTGAGTTGCCTTCGAAGTCTAAGGTGATCTGAGCGGGTGGTGGGAAGGTGGGCTCCGCGGGGCCGGGGCTCAGCTCGGGCAAGATGTCCCTGGACCAGTCATCTACCACCTCCTGCAGCCCGCTGACCTGCTGCACAATGTCTTCCAGGTGCGGGCAGAAGCCATCCTGGCCCAGGTCCAGCAGGTCGCCAGTGCTGGCATACAGGTGGAAGCTGGGCACGTTGTCGTAGATGCTGATGCGGCTCTCCCGCGAGCAGGATGCTGTCAGCCGGGGCTCACCGCCGCCGGTGTCCTGCGGTCGGCCCAGGCCATCTGCCCTCCAGTGGGCTCTACTGCTGCCGTCCGTGGGCGCCAGGCTTTCAATGGACAGCGCCTTGGGGAATGTCCCCGGCTTGTGGTCCTTGGGTATGTGCACCAGCAAGTCCTCCTGGGATCGGCAGGTGGAGGTGTGGCCCTGGGTGCCAGGCACCCGCAGCACCGTCCCCGCCAGCACATCCAGGTCCTCCAGGTACAGGCCTCCTCGTTTGCTGGCCTCCTGGCGCCTGGGCTCTGGTGGACCTGGGGTGCTGGGGGCGCTGCCGCTGAGCTGAGACTCCGGGCTGTGGGCTGGCCCCTTGGTGGAGGCTCCTGGGCCTGGGTCCTGGAGGTCCCAGTTGGGGGGCAACAGGGTGTCCTGTTGCAGCAAGGGCCCACTGATGGCCAAGCCCCCGGTCCCCCCGGGCCCCTTGTGCTTCCCAGGTCCCCCTCGGGCTCGCAGGCCCTCCATGCGTTTCAGGATGGACTTGGCCCTGGTCCTCCCTGACTTCTCATTCTTGGGGGGGCCCGGGGAGTGGGCAGTGTTACAGGGGGACGGTGCCAGGTGGCTGCCAGTGGCTGCGGCGTCCGGGGCGGACAGGCCTTCGGTGGCGTAGGCCTGTGGGGGGCAGTCCCAGGGCTCGTGGCCGGCGCTGGGTGTCCCCGGCTGGGTCCTGCCCTCGCTGCTCACGCTGCCCGCGCTGCTGCCGCTGTGCAGAGAGGAGACCTCGGGCTCGCTCAGCTCGGTGAGCATGCTCTCCGTGCTCTGGGCGTCCCTCATGCTAGCGCCGCCCGGCGGCCCCGCCCCCGCGCCGGCGCCGGCGAGCAGCGGGTGCGGGTCGTCCACGCGAGACCATCGGCGGCTGGTCCTCTGGAAGGTCCACTTGTTGCTGAGGCAGAGGTCGTCCTCATCGGAGTCGTTGCTCTGAAACGCAGCAAGCAGAGGGCGCCGTTACTCAGGCCGGGCTGCCCCCCAGGGGACGGAGGAGAGCTGCTCCAACCAGGACCCCCACGGCCTGGGGGCTAGCAACGCACAACCCCGCCCCCGTCCAAACCCACTGCCACCGAGTGACCCTACGGGGCAGTTTCCTCCCCGGCTCCTGTGAGTGTCCATTCTGACTCACAGCAGTGACCCTGGAGGGCGAGCCGATCAGCCTCACAGGGTTTGCGCTGTGCCTCCTGCCACCAGGTCAACACTGACTCATCGTGACCCAGGGGACGGAGGAGAGCTGCAGGGGCGCAGGTGGGGGTCCTAGCCTGCCCTCTTTCTACCACCGAGCCGCTGCCTGGGGTCTAACAAAAACCCTTGTCCAAACGCACTGCCACTGAGTCCAGAACTGCCCGACGGTCTCTCACCTGCGCACCAAGTGTCACCGAGTCGATTCTGACGCGCAGTGACGCTGCAGGGCAGCGCAGAGCTGCCCCGGTGGGCTTCCTACCTACTTTCCTATGCTACTGGGCCGATTCTGTCCCACACGACCCTGGAAGACAGGGAAGCCTCCGTCGGTTGCTGAGGCTGTACATCTTTCTTCCTCGAGTGCGGCTGGTGGTTTTGAACTGCTGACCTGCGGTGAGCAGCCCAGTGCTTAAGCCGCTGGGGCTCCCCAGCAATCCTGTTTACAGGACCAGATTTCAGGCCCCTCCCCTGGAGCCACTGGATTGGAATCAAAAATCCAAACCAAACTTGCTGCTGTCCAGCGGATTCCGACTCACAGGGGCCCTGTGGTGCCGACTAGAACTGCCCCCGCAGTGTGTCTAAGGCTCCCGCCAGGGCATCTCCCCATGGAGCTGCTGCGGGAATTTGAACCACGGACCTTCCTGAGCCACTGTGGTGGCTACGTAGTTTCACGTCAGCTTGAAGTTCTAGAAATGAGCAGGGGTGGTAGTCAGCCTGTCGATCAGGTCACAGCTGGATAGCGACTCGTTGTGGGTGTGGCTTTCTCATAAAGAGGGTCCTGGGAACCCCCCCCCACACCTCTGCATTCACCTTCCTGCTGCCAGAGCCCTGGGGATGCGTCCACCCCCATTGCACCCACAAGACTTTGCACCCACCGGCCGGGGATCTTCCTGCGTTCTGCACCATGGCTGTGAATCTGAAGAGGGACTGATGGACTAGTATCGGACTTACGGACTTGAGTTGGACTGGACTGGGATTTTTTTTTAATAGATATGATGACTTCTTGACTCTTTCTTACACATATATGAGTTTCAGTGGATTTGTTTAGTCACCCAGGCTTAATGCTGCCACCAAGCTCTTTGGATGCGTAGCGCTTGGCTGGATCCCTGAGGGCACTTGCTCTAGGAATACTAACTGAAGGTCCTATCGTCTTCCACTCCCCTCCCCGCCATTAGGGGTACACTCGTCGCCAGCTGGGTGTGGTCTCATGTTTTGATCATATTTGCACCCCAACCCCCCTGGTGACACCACTGTCCCTGTCACAGTGGGACTAAAACATGGCCCCCACCCGCCAGTCAGGGGTTGGATTCTCTTCCCCCTTAAAACATATACTGAAGTCCCGTGCCTGTGGGGTTGTTGGGAGAGAGGGTCTTTGCAGGTAATCAGGGTCAGATGAAGTCATGGGCGGCTAACCCCACAGGAGAGTGTCCCCATGAGGAGAGGGGAAGGGTCAGATACAATGAGAATGCCATGTGCCAACGGTGGCCCCTGGGTGCTGAGCCTACAAGATGAGGAGAGGCAGGGGTTGCTAGCCACCCCAGCCAGGAAGAGCGTGCAACACAGTCACCCCTAGACCTTCTGGGGAGAGCAAGGGCCCGTCTCTTGGACAGCAAGAGAATGGACTTCCACTATTCCCAGCCACCAGGCTCTGCTCATCTCTCGAACCATCTTGGTGAGAGAAGGACAGCGGGCCATGGATTTGTGCAAACGTGGTGGCTTGGGTGCTGCTGTGGTGCTGGGAGCTATGTCACTGGTATTTCACATGCAGGCAGGGTCACCCAAAGTGGACAGGCTTCAACAGAGGGTCCAGACTACGGGAGTAGTCTGTGGAAAGGGCCATCCAGGGCTGAGGGATTAACCCCTGGAAACTTGGCGGATCGCAGCGGTTAGGGAACACTGTCTGATTCAACACTGGAATGTGAGCCCCGCCTTAGCATACCCTCGAAATGAAAGTGGGGAGGGGCGGGGTCCTCGGAGTGGAGTTGACCTGAACGGTGTGGACGGAGCAGAGCTTTGGAATCTTCACTTGCTGATGGGGCGCGGCTCACGACTGGAATGTGTAATGCATGCAGTGTACATCTAGGGAAATCGGAAGTAGTCAAAAATGAAGTGGTGTGCAGAAAGACAGATCGATGCCCTAGGCATTCCGGGCCCGGCCATTTTGAATCAGACCTCCGTACGGCTTACTAAGCCGAGAAGGACCAACTCAGGGGAATGACGTCACACTCGTCATCAAAAAGGACATTTCAAGGTCAGTCTTGCAGTGCAATTCTGTCTGTGATAGGATTCTATGTGTACACCCGCACAGAGGAAGACCAGTAACTATAGTTACGATTCAAACCAACGCAGCGACCGCTTGAACTAAGGATGAAGAATTCTGCCAGCTCCCCTCGTCCAAAGTTGGTCCAGTGTGCCAGCAGGGGACACTGACCCTTCGGTGCCTGGAAGGTGAATGTTGCGACAAAGAGGAAGGGCAAGATGGCCTTGGTAATGGAAATGAAGCTGGAATTCTGTGAGACCAATGATTTCTTCGTGGCAAACACCTTCTCTTACAACGTAAATGGCATTGATACAATGTGGATCTCACCACGTGGCACACACAGGAATCAGGTGGACGACACCCGTGGGAAGAGACGGTGGCCAGGGGCTGCCCGGGCCACAGACATCCACTGCTCAGGCACACGCTCAGGTGCAGCTCGAGAAAACAAAGACG